CAAGTTGAATGGTATAGCCCAGAATGAAAAGTGGGAAAAATTATTATGTAGGAAATATTATTATGTAGAGCGCAATTGTAGTCAAATTCGTATCATCAGCACGAATTTCTGCGTATTATTCTGGCTGCATTTATCAATCCTGCTGTATTTCAAGTGCAGAACATGCTTAAAAACGAATCGTAATTGAAAATTATAACGTTATGATCATGCTAGGACGCACGTATTATCTCTCGTGGTAAAAAGTAATCTCAGTTGAAATTTTTATTAATTAAATAATGCCGTTGTAATTAATGCTTTATGTTATTCCTGTTATGGTGTAAAGTTCTGCTTACTTATTGACGCTTATTAAATATAAATGCACGGCGCAGCGAATTTCTCTAGAACAGAGAATCGAAAGCTAATCATTTGTATGTACATAGCTATATCGCTTGTTATCTCTGTATACTCGTGCGTTAATTGTTGAATATGTATATGTGTAACAATGTTCCCCATCGTTTGCATTCGCGCTGGAAACAACATAAGAGACATCTCGACGTAGAAAACTGCTTCAGCTTTTAAAGCATCGCAGTGACATTAAAGTCTTTTTTTGAGATTATGGCATTTATAAAATTCCATGATCGAAATAAAATTCTAATAAAATGCGCGCATTAAAATTCTCTTATTATTTTCCCGAAATTTTGATATATAATATTAAACATTTAATTACGCGACGTGTCATGTATGAAAAGTGATCGTCACTGTAAATTATCTCGACGTAATTACTATACGTAGTTGATTATGAATTTTACCGCAATTTTCGCGAATCAAAGTCTCGCTTGTTAATAAATTATTGTTAAATTCTTCTGCGTAATTCGTATTTTCTGCAATTCTTTTCATTATTGAAATTCTCCGCGAAAATTTGTGAAACTCGAGCATAATAAATTGCTGCAATCGCAATTACGATATATAGCTCTTTCTTGGAAACATTTTGCCGTCGTCACGTAATTAACAAACTCGCAAAGTTTGTTAAAAGAATTTGGTGTTTAAGCCAAAATCCACGAAGAATGCATGCGTCTACTGCGTCTCGTACTGATCTTTTTTTCACAAATGCAATGCCGACTTGTCGTAAAACCGTGTAAGAAACGAGTGAATACGCGCGATTTCTTACGAATGTTATAAACTGTAAATGGCTGCAACGAACCATAAGTTAATGTTTAATGAAAGTGTAATGCGCGGAAAGAGAATAGTACTTCTACGAAGAGATTGGCCGGCACCAGTTTTTTCAGTTTTACTGAAAAATTTTTATTTCGAGTGCAGGTTGTAATAAAAGGTAGAAAAATTAATGTACACGTGTCGTTCAATATATACGCTAAAACGTATTTTACTGATAAATGTTTTAAGTTAATTATTTAATCCAGAAAAATAATGCCTTATAGTTATAGTTACTATTTTTTTTAATAATAAATTGATAATTGAGTAATATCGACATTATATTTTTTATTGATAATAAACGCAATTATATTTTTTAAGTCACATTTTTTGAGTAATGAATATAATCATTACTTTGTATACATAAGATACATAGATGTGGGAAAAAGTTCGTGGTGTTTTTTAAATGCCATCTAATGGGAAAAACGCCACGAACTTTTTCCTACACCTAATATATATGAAACATGTGTAGTTAGTTTTAAAAGAAGGGAGTATTATGTTTAATCATGTTGCAATTAATTATATGTATAATTATTAGATATTTCGTGTTGAAGTAGTTAATTAGCAATACAGATAATTGGATGTTATTCTAAAAAAGGATTTCATAAAAAGGTAACGGAAATTCTAACAACTGAATGCTTCTTTTAATACACTAACGAGTTACTTTTTCTATTGGGTAACGTGTAATGATATTTTACAGTGAGTAATGAATAATGATAACGACTTTTTTTGATAGTAACTTTTCCAACTCTTTAATAAATATTGAACATTGCCGAATTACTCATTGCTATATATAT